ATGGAAAATGCCATCAAAAGGGCTCAAGTGACAATAAACGGCGTCCATTTTCTTGACATCATATTCTCGACACAATATAAAAAATTAAGGATCAAATAAAAATAATCCGCAAGAAGAATCAAAGTTTTTAATTTTTTTTAAATTACAGCCCAAAAACATCGTAAGTTTACTGTTGCACCACCTTGTATAAGTTCTTAAGGTACCCAGCCGAATGAAAAAGTATACCCCAGGTCCTAAAAAATAAATCCTCATTTATTTAAAAAAATGTTCTCATTAATTTAAAACATATATTTTAAAGAATAAAAATGGATGTGATTTCCCAACTGCTTCAGTTCGAAAATATTTTACTTATTTATTATTATTATTATTATTATTTTTTTTTTTTTTGAATTTTTATTCGGTTTTTCCGAGTTGTAACACAAAATTTCCCTTTCGATATGAAATGTCAAAAGAGATTTCCTTATTGATCTCAGAACAATCGCATATAAATATCTGTAGATCTGGCTACTCGGACATGTTGTCTTTAAGGCTCTAGAGTATAAGGACTGTTATTGAAAAAATATGTAGGCAATCAAAGGATTGTATGAAATTGGAAAATCGGAAAATTAAACACTATAAAATTAGCTGGTATTTCCCAGCTGCTTCAGTTCAAGCACACCTCAAATATCTCTGATAAAATACCGTATCAAATACAAAATTATCAATGACCAGACGCTTTAAAAAAATCACAAAAAATCGAATTTAATTTATTTATTAATTTAAAAAGCAAATATCAAAAAACTATTAACACCCTTTCTAGACATATTTCAAATTCGGTTCGTTATTCACAAAAAAAAAAAAAAAAAAAAAAAAAATTAAACAAATTATTTTTATATATTTTTTCGACATTTTCAACATTTATATATAAAAAAAAAGTGTTATAGAAATTAAATGATCCATCCATTTATTAAGTCAAACATCGAGACAAACATAAGTAATCAACTAAATTGTCGTTTTTTATTTTGTTCAAGCAACCGCTCGACCAACATCCATCCATCCATCCATCCAACCAACCATCAGGCAGCAACATCAAGAGAGTGAGACGTTTTCATTCGTCCATCATAAATCATAAACTACGATAATAACATAATTGACTCAGTTCTGTTGTTTTTTTGTTTTCTCGTCTTCTCTTCGACCATCCATCCATCCGGCTGTTGGGGCCATTTCTCAGCCAATTGTCTGTCTGTGCTCGGTCGGTTGGTCGGTTTCTTTTTATAAACGAAATCATATAATTAAAGGTGTTATTTTAAATTATGCAAAGAGTTAATTTATTTCCTCATGGAATTTTAGAAATCTTAAATGTCAGCTGGCAAAATTGTGCCAAGAGTTGTTGTTTTTGTTTTCTTTTCGTTAATTACAATTTTACGCTTTTTTAATTAAACAAAATTTATAAAAATGTAGCAATTTTTTCTTGCCTTTTCAGATCTATGTTTGTTTTGAGTGCAAAGAATAAGCTGAATCAAAAATATGTAAAGAATTCGAATTTAAATTTAATTACGATAATTACAAGACGAAGGATTCCCATTTGGTCAGGGGGTCTTATAATTAAAAGCTCATAATACAGTATGAAATTTTGCACAGCATTAAGATTGAATACCGAGAAGCTGGCACATATTTTGATGGCGCTAAGTACTTTGGGTAGATTTTTGGTGAAGCTATTTTTGTAGAAAATGTTGAGGAATTTATTTATGTAGCAGCAGGAAACTATTTTTTCCTGCCTCACATTTAGCTGTGTCGTGGTCACAGCTTGTTTACATTTTTTTTTGAATGCCTAAAAGTATGCATCATACAAAATAACGATACATTCATATCGATAGAGTAGTAATATGTTAAAGATATATTTATCGCCTTATTTGAAATGTTTCTACCAGTAGTGGTTTTATGGAAAATTTCATGTCTAAGGTATCCAATTGCTCGTCCTTTGAACGTTTCACTAATATAAATGAACCGATAATATTAGCGGAAATCATATAAAAAGTTATCGGATTGAAATTTAATTATGATAAAAATTAAATAAAGCGAGAGCTTTATTCGGACGACTGTTAGTTGTATGAAGAAATCCACATATATCCAAAATAAGAACACATAGAGTATTCAACAAGTGCCTTTAGATCATATACACAGTATTCCGACCTAACACCATAAATAACATATAACCTATGGAACTTGAGGAACCCCTGAAAAATAAAATAGGACGTGGAAAGTGGAAATGGATTGACCATACCTTAAGAATGGAACCCCAAGGATCACGAAATAGAGGTCGCCCAAGAAAGAACAAAGACAAAATGTGGGAAGCCCCAACAGTACACAAATATACACACTCATGTTAAGGTATATATCGCAAAATTGAGGATAAAACTTTGAAATTAAATAGAGTAGGGTGACACCAAGAATCATGGGCGATGTCGGTCCATTTTTTTTAGGTCTTTTGACCTAATTCCAGCAATTCCACCTATAATATTTGACTTTTTAACGATCATCGTTTTGGTTCAAATAGCTCAATAACGCTTCGTGTTCTGTTTCACTGTGCGTAAATAAACAGAATTGTCGATTTTGTAGTTAAGATGAGCCAGAAGCATTGCGAAAGTCACTTGTGATTGCAGAAAAAGTCACATTTTGGTACCGATCATGGGGCCGGTGGCATCATTGAACCGAACTTCTTCAAATATGTAATGTAACTGTAAATGGTAACTGTAAATGGTGAGCGCTACCGTGAGATGATATCCAACTTGTTTTGCCCAAAATGCAAAAGCTTGAATTCTATGACATGTGGTTTTAACCTGACTGGGCCATGCGTAACAATGGACTTATTGAGAGGCGTGTTCGGCGAAAATTTTAACATTGCCTTATTACGCTAAAGCTCATGTCTACAAGAGCCCTCTTCAATTGAAGAATTAGAAGACAACATTAAAGTATTTATTCGTGATGTACCGGACGAAATGTGGGAAAGTATGCCAATATTTGACTAAACAGATGGACAATTTGAGTCGCAGTCAACATTTGATTGAACTAATCGTCAAATAATTCAGTTCAATTTTATGAAACGCACTACTAAAACATATAAAGATATATTGGATTTTTCTGAATTTTACGGTAGGACCATTCGAAAAACTTGTAATAGCTTTAAAAAATCAACCTTTGGTTCAATGAGAGAAAATTCGGTAGAAATTCAAGGTTGAAACATTCCAAATTCCGAATATTTGGGGGTACCGCAATATCTAATAATTGATTCATATTAACAATATTCTGCAGGGCCTTACACATAGAATTTAGTTATTGCTTTGGTAAACGAGTAAAACAGCTTATTCACCATTTGGAACGAATTTGGAAATTTTCAAAAAAATAAAATCCGTTAAAAATTCTGTTAAAATCTTAAAAATACCGATTGTAGCCATAATATTGCGGTCTATACGAAGACGTTGACCTGCATAGGTAAATTTTATCATATGTCATTACAATATTCAAATACGAAACTTGAAAAAAAAATCCGGTAAAAAATGTAGCTAAAATCATAAAAAATGCCGATTATAGGGAGGTACCGTTATATCGGAGCTATACATAGACCTGGACATGCATATACAATTTTTTGTCACAGGATGTAGTACTTATTACGAACTTCAAATACGAAATCTCAAACAATTTCGGTGAATATTGTACCTAAAAAATATATACCAAATATATGGAGGTACTGATATATGGGGCATATACGAAGACCTGGACCTGAATAGACAATTTTCTGTCATACAATTTTTTGTCAAAGGCTGTAGTACCCATTACGAATTCTAAATACGATGTTTGAAACAACTCCAGTAAATAATGTCCCTAAACTCGTCAAAATATCGGAGGGTGCCGTTGTATGTGGGCTATACAAAATCGTGGAACTATATAGACATTTCTCTTCCAGGGAGTAATGTGCTAAAAAAAATTTTTAGTATGAATTTTTCAATGGAATTGTCTAAAAATTAGGTACCGTTATATGGGGGATATACGATATCGTGGACTTACATAGACAATACTCTTTCAGGGGGTAAAGTACTCAGAAGGAACTCCTTTTGTGGATTTTCAGACAATTTCATTGAACTATTTGGCTACAATCATCCAAGTACCGAATATCAGGGGCTACCGTTATATAGGAGCTATACGATATCGTGGACCGATATAACTCATCTTCGAACTTGACCTGCCTGCAGATAAAATAATGATCTGTGCAAAATTTTAGCTTCCGATCTTTATTTGATTAAGGCAGACGTGCAGACATTTTAAAATATTCCGAACTCCATATAAGTTTGATAATAACATTACGATATTCCAAGTTTGGATAGTTATCGTGCGTACTAGCCACACTCACACCTAGATCGAAATTCTGAAATGGATTTGGTCCGTTATTTCGATATATTTTTATATTTGGCCGTAACTGGTAAAAAACAACTCAATTTTCCGTATAAAGTCTAAATAATAACCATTTAGGGTGTGGGAAAAGAAGCCACAGTGCCGTCTGCCGCTAACGTCCCGGGTCTGTGGTAATCACTCAAAAATTTTGAATTTGAATCGACAAAAAACGGATAACAAAAATGGGGTTGGCGGTGGGAAAACGCTGCCCAAATAAAAGTTTCGAGAACCTAATCATTTTTGAATTTTCCGAATTTTTAACCGAAGGGTACTTTATTTCTCGGGAGTCTTCATTAAAGCCTCTCACACTTGTTTCAAATAAAAATCGATATAATTTTGTGTTGCGACATCTCAGACGGCAGCAATATACCCTTTCAACATTTAGAAAATCTTCAAAGTTCGGGGGCACAAATAGATGTTAGATTGGAGAAATTACTTATAACCGAAATGTTTTTTAAGGGCCCCGCACTTTGAAGATTTCTACAACAAATTAAATAAAATTATGCTATTCAATATGAACCCTATAGTATATTCTAAAACAAAAACTTTAAAGCACTTATTCCCCAACTTACCACATCAAAAGTGAAAATCCGTTTATTTAAATGTTATAATAATCCTTGAACTGGTATTTATAGATATTGTAGGTTTTTTTTTGTCGTTTTATTTTAATACACAAAAATTTTTTATTTCGTTTTTATATATATTTTTTCTGCTTGGTTTTTAATTTTCACAAATTTCATTTATTTTATTTTATTTTGTCGTTTTTTGTTTTTTTTTCATTAAAGAATGGTTCACATTCTATTTGGTATTTTGGTATATTCACTATCTATCTATGATTCGTCGAAGTCGAACAAATTCATTTTAATTCAATTTAATCCAATTATTTGTTTTCTGTCGTTTTTTTATTCGTTTTCAATTCGGTGACACTGGAATAACTGCAAAAAAAAAAATAGAAAAGGTTGATTTGAAATTTTAGTTTTAGTATAATTTGTATTTATTTGTAAAGAATTTTTGGAAAAAATTTGTTTTTTTTATTTTGTCGTTTAATTTGGTTAAGGTATTTCTCTGGATATTTTTCGTTGTAAATTTTTTTTATTTTATAAACTTGATTTTTTGTATAATTTAGTTAAGGTATTTCTCTTGAATTTTTGTCGTAGGTTTTTTTATTTTATAAATTTGTTTCTTTTTATATATTTTTTTTTTTTAATTTAGTTAAAGAATTCTCCTTTAATTTTTGTCTTCAATGCATTTTTTTGAACAACTTCAATGAGTGTGTTTGTTTGGACATTTATGTGTATCTTATTTATTCATTTTTTTAGTGTTATATTTTATTAGAATCTTCAACATTTATTCTTCAGGCCAATCATATATCATTTATTACTTTTGTTTTCTTTCAAATGTTGGTTTTTAATTGACACCTTTTCATTTTTTGGTGTATTTTCAATTGGATTATTTTTTTGGAAAATATTTTTATCTCCAGTTCATTTGTTTATTTTAATTTGTTGAAATGTGAAATTGAAAATGTTTTAATAAGAGTACAGGGTGAGATGAAAAAACTGCAACCAACTGCAGGATATGTTGGGAATTTTGGAAATACTTATTTGTTCAAAATTTTACTATAGCTGGAACACTTTGGTTTAGTGCTTGAAATCTGAAATTTTGTCTTAGGATCGATGTTCATGTGAAGCCTGGACATATACAGGGTGAAATATAAAAGCTGCAACCAACTTCAGACTGTTGTCATTTCTAAGCCACTCGTCCGACAGCTGTTAAAATTATTCCAGTGATAGCTCATTACATTGTTTGCAAGTGTGAGTCGGGCGAGGCCGACTTTATGATACCACTTTGCTAGTTTAGTAGAGCTCCACATAACAATTAAAAGTTTTTATGGGAGAATTCGATCATACACGCTACATTATAACTTAAAGTTCAAAGGACTAAATATAAATATATTACGGCTGTTGGTAACAAATACAACAAATCGGATGAACAATATATATGGGAGCTATAGCTATATCTAAACCGATCTTTACCAAATTTGGCATCCTAGCTTCTAGACGCAATTCGGACGTATGTACCAAATTCCATTCTGTTTGGGCAAATATTAGACGTTTTGTGCACAATCCAAGGTAAATCGGACGAAGTTAGTATTTGATAAATTTCCCCAAATATTGTTGTTACAGAGTGCATATTACGGCTGCGGAGGACAAAACTAACAAATCGGAAGAACAATATATATGGGAGCTACAGCTATATCTGAACCGATTTCGATCAAATTTGGTATACTTATTTTCAGGCCTAATTTGGTTGTATGTGCAAAATTCCATACTATTCGGGCTGATATTACACGTTTGGTGCACAATAAAAGGCAAATCGGACGAAAATATATATGGAAGCTATATCTAAATTTCTTACCGATTATCTCCAATTTCAATAGGGTTCGTCCTTGGGCCAAACAAATGATTTGTGCAAAATTTCACCTGGATCGGGCAATAAATGCGAACTGTACTTTGTTTATAAAAATACATGGACAAACGGACAGACGGACATGCATAAATCGACTCAGAATGTGATTTTATGCGATCATCAAAAGGAACTATGGATCTATCTCATTTCCTTCTGCCTGTTACAAACAAATGCACAAAGACATAATACTCTGATCACCTTGTGGTGTAGGGTATAAAAATGAGCTCGGGATAAAGCCATTAAAATTCAAAAAAAGTGCAAGAACTTACACCGCAACTGCAAGAAAATAGACTCAAAAGAGCTAAAGAGTTGCTTCACTTGGTCGAAAGTGGTGAACTATCGAATTTGGTTTTCTCCGATGAGAAAACCATTCGTTGTCCAGCAGTTAATAAACAAACAAAACGATCGAGTTTACTTGCCAAAGAGGTCGGTCAGCTGAAAATTTACACCTTCGATTGGCCACCAAAATTCAAGCGCCGGCCATGGTGATGTTGTGGGCCGCCATAAAAGCCGATGGTCGCTTCCCGCTCGTATAAATCGACCGTGGCATCAGAATAAATACCGAATATTATGGCGAAAATATTCTGGAGGGTGTATTAAAGCCTTGGGCAGGCAAACATTTTGGCCGCAGACCTTCGACATTCTAACAGGACTTAGCACGAATGGTTACAAAATGAGGTTCCTCGCTTCATTTTCAGCGCACAATGGCCACCAAAATTTTCGGATACCAATCCGTTGGACAATTGTGTCTGCAGTATTTTTTGGAAAGCAAGGTTGGCACTAAATAATACTAAAGCGTCGATCACCTTAAGCGAGCGTTTCGCCGGGAATGGGCCAAAATACCGCAGAGTAACATTCGGGCAGCGTGTGACAGTTTCATTGGACGTTTCAAGGCCATAATTCGTGCCAAAGGTGACCAATTCGGACAAATCTTAACTTATTCTAAAATTTGATGCTATTTTCGACATTTTTTGCTTTTATTCAACAAAATTTAAAAAATAAAAAATTATTGCTTTTGACTTTGTTGCAGTTTTTTTCTATCTCACCCTGTATGTATGATTGTATGTGTGTGTGAGTGCAAATTGTTGAAAATATGTGTTATTATTTATTATTATTAAGATATCACACATTATTCTCTCACACTTATTAAGCCACTTGTGAGAATAAAACCCGAAATTTTTTTATTTTTCCTATTTTTCTTATTTGCCATTTTTTTCGTTTTTGATATTAGCTCGAAAGAAAAGAAAATAAACACACTTCGGTATCGAAGCATCATCTTAACATCCAGGAAACTTATATCGTGTTTAGATTTGTTTATTTTTCGTAGCTTTTTTCTGTTGTTGTTGTTTTGCTGTTCTACTTCTTCTAATGAGCAATAATATCCAGCCTACGGCCATCGATTCCTAATAAAGGTAATACGAGTTGCCTTATATGAGTGTGAATGTATGTGTGAGTATATATAGCATTTATATTTCTATTTAAAATACAAGTAATTATTTTCTGAACAAAAGTTGTCGTTGTTGTTTTTGGTGTGTGTGTGGGACATGACATTTGTTTCTTAAAATAACCAAGAGTTATAAATAAATTGAGGTAGCGTGATGCATTACTAAAGGTCGAACAATAAAATAATTAAAATATCAAATAACTGTAAGTGTGCCTACTTTTAGAACTAATACACGGAGCAACACAAATAAATATTTACAGGATAATCGAGAAAATTATAAAAGTACAGCTAAGAATAGAAGACACATGTATAGGCGTTGTGGAAGCTTACATCGTAAAGTAAGACTAAATACCGGGAGAGAGTAACACCCTCCTCGAAAAATGTTTATATTTACGGACAAAGTCTCCTTATATCCTTTCATTTTAGGTATATAGTGTCTCGGTCATATTACTGATAACAATGCGAGGATTATTATGTCTAGATATTTTAACACTCAAACAAATCACTAAAAAGTGCTTTTTGGTTCTTTTTTCAAAAAAAAAAAAAATGGTTAAAAACACATTTTAAATTGGATCGTAAAAAGACAAAATATTCTACAAAATTATTTGTCATAAAATTCCACTATAGGTTCCAGAATACATAAAAAGTCTAAAACTAACCCAAAGTCCAGAAATTCTCAAATATAAAAATAAAAAGTTGAAAAGTGTCAGTCGGTTTTTGCGACAGTTTTATACCCTTGGCCAATGTTCGATTATTTAAATATATTTTGACTTCTGTTGTTATTATTCAAATTTTTGACCCCCTATGGAGTAGGTTCCGAAGGAATGGGCCATTATTGTCCATTTCGTATGGGACCTAAATAAATATGATATAGGTATTGCGACGTGCCACTTTTGGACTATAATGGTTACTTCCTTCACTTTATATGAGATATGTGATAGTTTAAGAAAATGGTAAAATGTGCATGAGGTACCAGATATAGTCGACCGAAGTATTCGATTGTCATACTTCATCTAATGGAGATAAAATATTTTAATGGGCAAAATTACAAAAAAATAGAACATTTATATCAATTTATTAATTCCGATAAATTTCACATTAAGGGTCTCTGGAAGAGAAATACTTAGATATAGCGAGTTGTAAAGAATCTCTGACCTGTTTCGCAAAAGTATTGAAAAATTTGATTTTTTTGTGGGTGTGGTACCAGAAGGGGTTCGCAGATATATATCTAAACTTCACGGCAGATCTTGTGTTAGAAAAAATGTTTGTATGTGTAAAATGTGAAGAGAGGTGGATGCTTATTTCGCTTTCTTTGAGCAATTTGTTTTTCAAAATCCTGAAACCTACGAAGGGGAGGAGGAGGTCCGATCACTACCATCTTCATAATAGATATTGAGTTGATGGAAATATTGAGATATGAAACGTCTAAATGGAATCGAATGTTAATTTCGCGTTTAATGACGTTCATGGAAATTCAAAATGTTGAACCTTTGTGGGACAGGTTCCAGAAGGATTGGATCCGGGACCCCATTATTAGAAATAATGGGATGTGTGAAATATAAAGAGAATCGGACGCTTATTTCTGATTTTATGATCATTTTGGTTATTTAAAATCTTAACCCCTATGTGGGGAAGGTATCAGAAGAAAAAGCCCGATCTCTATCATCCCTATAACAGATCTTGTGTTGATTAAAATATTAAGATATACTACGTCTGAATGCAATCGGAAGTTAATTTCGCGTTTTTTGAGTTTCATGGATATTCAAAAATTTGACCCGGCCCACGGAGGTACCAGAAGGAGAGGACCGACATATGCCATCTTCACAGCAGATATTGTATTAGTAGAAATAATGGGATGTGTGAAATATGAAGAGAACCCGATGCTTATTTTGGATTTTATGCTCGTTGTGGATATTCAAAACTTTGACCCTTTGTGGGGAGGTACCAGAAGGAATGGTCCGATCTTTTCCATCTTTATAACAGATCTTCTGTTGGTAGAAATATTGAGATGTGCCAAGTCTGACT